CAATGAGCAGCTCTGTGGTCTGAAAGGGCAGGGAAACAGCCCAATGAGCATCACTGCAGAGGAGCCAATCAGCTAGATGTTGCTGGGGCCGCTGTGAGCCAATCATCAGCTGGCAGTCTGAAAGTTTGCTGGGGCCCCTTCGGCTGTGGCTCTCAAGGATTCTCCTTGGCTCCATGAATGTCTCTCTGTCTCTCCTGCATGGCATCTAATGGTGTGGAACTCACATCTCTGCTTGTGGGATGCTTGGCTGCTGTCTCTGCTTTAGATGCCAGGCACTGCAAGGAGAGGTGGTGACGGGCTTGCTATTGTTTATACGGCCCCTGCCTGTGTCCTGGCCTCCTCTCTGTGGCACTGGTCTTCCTAGGATAATCAAAGGCCGAAGCACAATTTTAGCAAATGTCAGGCAACAAAATGTCAAGGACCTTGAGCCTTGTGACTAGCTAAGTAAAAAGTATCAAACTGAAAACCAGAAGTCTGAAAACAAGTTCTGATGTTAGCTTTATTAAGATTTGATATTTTAAGTAAAATGGCAGGTCCTCAGGGATGCCTCTCCTGACCTGGATGGGCATCATCTCTCATGTATTGTGTATTGTTTATTGTGCATAACAAACAGCTCCAAACAAGCATGCAGCAAGCAGCATTCATTTCTTACTTGTGTTCACGGGTCTGTGGGTTGACTTGACTGTATTGGGCTGAGCTGGGATTGACTCAGGCTATGAAAGGTACATCAAAGTCACATGGCAAAGAGTGTACACATTTAATTATTATTATTTTTTAATTATTTTTTAGTTGTAGGTGGGCACAATATCTTTAGTTCATTTATTTCTTTTTATGTGGTGCTGAGAATTGAACCCAGTGCCTCACACATGCTAGGCACATGCTCTACCACTGAGCCACAACCCCAGCCCTGTACGTGTTTGATTCTATTTCATCCTATCATATTACAATACTCTCAAAATTCTGTCTTTTGCCTTCATGTATCAACATGACACATGATGACATGTGTGACCATTTAAATTTTACATGTATTTATGTGATTCTTTTGTTCCTTCCTGTGGCTTGCTCTGAACTCTTGAAGGTGGTGACTGTGTTTTGGGGCTCACCATGATTCTCTTCAGGCACTCAGTGAATGAACAGCTATTGTTGGGAGCATTCTCCTCCAATTTGCCTCAAAGTCATCATTGGAACAGAAGTGGAGGATTACTAAAGCAATACTGAATGCCTTGTTTCGACTCTTTCAGACATTCTTTTGCTACATGCCCATTGTGAACAGTGTGACCCTGTGGGAGAGAAACATGCCACCTTCAAAAGTGAGTAAGCAGGGGTCCTGTTGTGCAGGGCTGCTTTGCACTGTCATCCCTTTGGGTTCTGGGACTCCATGCCTGAGATTTGACCCTTTATGCCTTTTTGACCTCATAACTTATAAAATATTTATTTTTTAAAAATTATAAACTAAGAAAGATGTTAAAAGATATTACCTATAGCAGTTTGAATCCTGTTTGAGAATCGTACTGTGTCTTTATTTTGTACACACAGATATGTATACTGAGGAAAACCTACAGCATTCATCTGATAGCAAGAATAGAAATCACAGTGCCTGGGGCACTTTTACAGTATGTGGCACAACATAGAGAAACTAGCATAATCCTCTTGTTTTACTATAACCAATAGAAGTATAGAACCAGCTTCACCAGGAGAAAGGCGAGCTGCCTGGCCTGTCAGGACTGTTCTTTCCCATCTCACTTCCCACTCATTGGCTAACCATCTGCTCTTAGTGAGAGCCAAAGTGAATGTTTGTCCCTGCAATGAACATGGGAGTCTCTGTAAATGATTGTGATGTGCACATGGAGATGGTCTCCATGGCTGGCTGGCCATTCCAGTTGTCATGGAGCTGTGGTAGCTTCTCAGATTTAGTCCCACCAGAGCGTTGTTTATAAAAGCAGGATTGGAGGAAAAGGAACCTTTCAACCAGTACTGAGATTTACATACCAAAGGCTTTGATTACCTTTATTTCCTTCCCTTTACCATGAAGGTCTTTGCAATGTCTTCTAAAGAGGACCACGTAGCCCAGAGACCCTGATGGAATCACTAAGTCTCAACATATGGGCAGGAGGTGACTCTACATTAGTTGGTTTTTTTCTCTGGTCTTTCTTTTCCAACATTTATAAGGAGGATTGCTCCAAGGTACTGCTTGCTGAGAAGTGGCAAGAAGGTTACTGAAAGTGGAATTCAAGAGTAGAAATGAAGAGGTGTGGAAACTCCCATTTTAAGTTGGAAGAAAAAGACAAAGTGTAGAAAAGATCACTTAGTTTTAGAAAATCTGACCTGATTTCCTAGTGGTTCTTACTCTGTGAAAGCAGAGGAATTCACTGAAATAAGGCACCAGCACTCTGCTTTTCATTAGTTGATCTTCCATTTGGACTTCAAGTAATTGATGTCTTAAGATTCCATGCAGCTAAAGGATTCTCTGACTCCCAGCGTGGACTGTGTTGGGGAGGAGAATTCTGTGGTGGAGTCATTTCATTGGTGCGTCAAGGGCTCTGGAAGGCAAAGCTTCCTGAAAGAGGATCACAGGCCCCTTCATTAGCTTACACTGAGACAGTGAGATCATGCTTCTGGAGCTTACCAACAAGAGATGCCTGGGTGTCACTCTTCTGTGGCAGCTGAAGTGAGGACTAGGGACCCACTTCCATCCTATGTGGGATCAGAAATTTCTATTGCCCCCCAAAACATGCCAAGAGGGTTTGGTAGCTGAATTTCAGTAAGACTTAGAATGACAGAGAATCCTTATCTGAAGAGAAAAAGCCACATAGTTCATTTTTTTTTTGATGAAAGAAAAAGAAACAAACTATGAGTCAATCTAATTTTTGAAAAATATTAAATGAAGTTTCTGAAAAATACATTCAGAGATATATCTATATCTATATCTATATCTATATCTATATCTATATCTATATCTATATCTATATCTATATCTATATCATCTATATCTATATCTATATCTATATCTATATCTATATCTATATCTATATCTATATCTATATCTATATCTATCTATCTACCTACCTATCTAATCAAGTAGGGCTATTTCTAGTGGTGCAAAAAATAGTTTAAGATAAAAATAAACGTATGGGATGCATATTAATAGATTAAGGGAATAATTTATTAATATATATTAAGGGATGTTTGACCTTACTAGTGTTGAGAGAAATGCAGACAAAAAACATGAGGATCATTTCATATTCATCAGTTGATAAAGGTGTAGGGAAGTAGGAAGTCTCATCTATACCACTGCAGAATCACCGTGGAGAGCATTTTCAAAATCTAACACAGGTGTGGAATGCAAACACTTTCGACCCAATCATTTCCACCAGGGTATGAAATCAGAGACTCTCTACTCAAGGGAGCCATGTAGAAGACTGCTTTCTGAGACATCCAGTTTATAATGGGAAATTTAAAACGCATAAATGTCCATCAACAGAAGAATGGATAAATATTTTGTGGAGTATACACGGGACCATTGCAAATAGTTTAAAGGATGAATTACAGTTATACTCACCATCAAGAATAAATCTTGGTAACTAAATGCAGAATGAAAACAGTCAAGTTATAGAATTATTTGTTTAACACGATAGATAATATTGCTCAGGGGATAAGTTCATCCACCTTTGCTTTTCCCTCTCAGTTTAAAGTTATTTGAGATGTAGATACAAAAGATGAACAGATGGTAGGAGAAATAAATTCCAGTCAAAGTTGGATTGAAAGATTTAATAAATTTCCAAAAATATAAACAGATGACATCATTCTTCTGCTCACAAATCTCCAGTGGGCTTTGGCTTCACTGACCATCAAGTCCAAAGTCTTTCTGATGGCTTCCAGGACCTCCCGGCCCCAGCGCTCTTCCTCTTCCTGTGGCCCCTTTTCTGCTCAGCCCCTCTGCCCCCTCCCTCCCAGACCCTTTTCTACCTTGTAATGTGGCAGATGAAGAAATCATACTAGAATAAAGAGAAATGTTGGCTCAGTAGTTTATTCAATTGGTGAATTCAACAAATATGTATTCAGTGCTGCTGTGTACCAGAATGTAAGCTCCACGAGGGCAGGGCCACGAGTCTCTTGCTATTTGTCATAGTCCCATCTCCAGCAGAAACCCCTGGCACAGAGGAGATGCTGACTTGGTATTTATCGCGCCAACGAAAGGACGAGCTGGACACATGGTAGGTGCTGGGTGTGCTCTGCAAGCTGTGTCCCTACTTCTCCATTGATGCCGAGCTGCTCTTCCTGCAACGACTTTGCTGTCTCTGGAAGCTCCTCCGTCTGCACCAAAGCCCTCACTGGTCTTCCCTTCGTTCTTCAGCATGTGGTCCAATGCTGGGTGGGGTTGCTCAGCCCCAACTTGAAGTCAGCCTCAGTTGCTGGGTCCTTCTTCTGCACAGGGGTGGAAAGGGGACTCTGACCATATCTCCCTCTCCAACTGAGCTGCCCGGTAGTGCCACTCTGCAGTGCTTGGTTTTCTTTTGCTCTGCTGGACCCTTTCCTGATAGTATTGTTGATAAATGATTTTGTATTTGTGGGAAAAAAAACCCCCACAAAACAAACAAACAAAACAACCACATTGCTATCTGGAAAGAATGTTTTCAAGCAATCCCACATTTCAAATACATAGCCCAATCAGGGATCATACACTAGCATATATTTTGAAATCATGTGCTATTTAAGGACTGTGTGGAAGCTGTGTTTTTGCGTGCAGAATGCGGGAATGCAATTTTTTTCAATGGACACTTGGAAGAATGAAATGGAAGCTTCCGTGCTGCGGGCATTCTGAGGACTGCTAGGAGTCAGAACTGTGTAGAGCTGGTAGGTCATGTGACTTGGGTTCTTGGTAGGTGTATGTGAGTCAGATGAGAACAGGGAGACATTTTATGCTCTTTTATGAGAGTAATTTGAGAAGCAGAGTGTCTCCAAGACCTTAGCATGACATGGTGCTGAACTCACAACTCCTGCTGTGGCCGAGGTGATCTGGGAACAACATTCATATAAAGAATGGCCTCCCAAAATTTTGGTAAAGGCTTGACTTTTCTAATATTCATTATGAACGTCTTAAAAAGGGGCAAATGTTCATTTGAACAAAATAAAAATAGTAATAATTGGCCCAGATGATAGCTGGCAAGTCTGTGTCCTACAGAAATGATAAGAGGGACATATTTGCATACCTGAAAAGATCTCACCAGGGCTCCTCTGATATCTCTGCCTAGAATCATACCACACAAAACTGGAAAGTGTTGCTTACTAGAGATGGAACCCTAGGCATAGAATCCTGGAAGAATGTCATAGGTTCTGGTTTCTAACAGAATAATCTTCAGGGTTAAATGGATCAATAAGTGTTAGATGTTTCATTCACGTAACAAATTGTATTAAGCACAATGTATACCAGGCATTGTTTTAAATACATAAAAGTGAACAAAACCAAAGATTCTGACATCATGGAACTTTCATCCCAGTGTGGGATAAAAAACCTGAATAATAAATAGTTAGGTCAAATTGTGATAAGTACAGTAGAGAAAAAGCAGGATAAGAACAGAAGGGCACATGCCATTGTTGATAGGGTCCTAAGTGGGACTCTTATTTGCAAACAAGAGAAGCTGACTCTGGTTGATGAACGAGAAGAGTTGAACAAAATAAAATTAAGTGATTCACAGTGTGATTTGGAGAGTTATGGGATTAGAACTAAGGGTAGGCTCCCAGGAACAGGGCTCAGTGTTTCAAGAAGGAGCAAAAATGGCCCCAGTTAGATCAAGGATGTGAGAAGATATGGATACAGAGAAACTGGAAGGACAGTTGGTATGACCACACGTTGCCTGCTTCAGACTGCGCTTGTGACCTTGCTGGGCTGGACATCCTGGTCCACATTGGATTCCCTGGCAAATTTCCCACCTTTGTGCCCTCCTGCCCTGATTAAATCCTCTTCTGTAGTCAACACTAGTTGGGCAGTTTGTAGAAGGAGGAGGACCTGCATTTTTCAATGATTGATGGAAAGGATGGAATTGGGGAACTGTCTTTGGACAATCGAGAGATTTCAAAAAAAGACATCAAATGCTTCTAGTACCTCAAAAAGAGTAATGTAGAAAAGAAAATTTAAAGTTATTCACCTAGACTTGATTTTTGGAAGCGAAAGATCCATTTCCTCATTTCCTCTGGGCTCCTTTCCCAGGGGAGCACAGATCCTGAGAAGATGAACTCAAGGATGGAAAACAGCATCATGGTGGATCTTACTCCTAATTGATATTTTTCATATAGTCAAATCCCACTCCCA